ATCCCACATGGACTCGTAATCAAACTAGTATTATCGGGTGTTACTACGTTTAGCTAGGTTGATAATGTTTTAGGGGAATAATAACAAAATAAGTGCGTGAACTAAAGGGAACTAAAGCTTTTACTTAAGGTATGAATGCTTGAATCGGTATGTAATATGTTATTTCTTTAGGGATTCTATAGGTCACCGGTGTCTTTAGGTTTTCAAAAATAGTTTAAGAAGAAAATGATGGTTTAAAGACCTTTGTCTCACGATGGTTGTTGATGCTAGTCGCAACTCTAAGGCGGAACGTATGTTGTCGCTATCCCGTTCGGGGTTAAAGTTACTTTTTGAAAACTATTAAGTTCTAATTCCTTTTAAAGCGTTGTCGCTGTTTTTAAAATGAATGCCTAGTTTTTACTATTTGGTCTTAGCCTCAGTTATCGCTTGTTGGTTCGTACCTTTATGAATTTCCCAATGTCGTGGCAAAACTACTGTAAATAATTTCTCGCTGTCGCGACGAAGGTTTATTTAGAAAAATCGATTTAAAAACTGAAGCCATAAATAAGTTTTTGAAAAGGTAGATATACACCGGTTAATTATTGCATCCCATCAGATTATTTATTACATACCGATTACTTAAGATTTAGCCAGACATGGAATATAAATTAACAACACGTAAATAATGGCAGAAAATAATAATATGCATTATAATGGGAAATAGCAATTCAATTTACGATTAGAATAGAAACCTGTAAACAATTTGATTTGCCTTTTGGGAAATCCTCCAAAATGGCGGCAGGATTTAGTCTTTATGCCAATCACTCGTACAGAATAGAAATGGGAAGGTAAAACAACAATTGCAAGGAAGGAAAGAAAAAGGAAATAAAACAACAATAAAAAAAATGGGAAACTGAATATTGCTCTGAAAATAAATTGGCAGCACTTCGTTTCTTCAATGCGGCTCTCTTTTTCTGGTACCAGCTACCTCCTTTTATAGATGGGATATTCAACGGTTTATTTCTTCGGGAAGTGGGAATGATATCAGAAAATATAGGAGCTAGTGGTCCATTTCTCTTTGGCACTTTCATAACTTGACAGCACGTGCAGAAAAACTGCATTTTAACTGCATGACGGTCGTCATGGACCTGTGACGGTCGTCACACGCATGACGGTCGTCACACCCTTGTGACGGTCGTCATATCAGCAGAACTCGTTTTTGCTGCTTTTTGGCCTGATTTTCACCTGGTTTTCACCTGTAAATGCTTCTTTTCTTTATCTTGCTCCATTTGAGCATGGACTTTGAATACCTGCAAAATACTGGGCAAATAGTATAGAAATATCCGAAATCGGAGAGAAAACGGTCGCCGATTAGTAGAAAAGTACATCATTATATATATATATATATATATATATATATATATATATATATATATATATATATATATATATATATATATATATATATATATATATATATATATATATATATATATATATATATATATATATATATATATATATATATATATATATATATATATATATATATATATATATATATATATATATATATATATATATGATTTCGCGTTATCAGAGAGATTGTGAGAGAAAGAAAAATGAGGTTTTCACGTTTTTTGGGTGATTTGAAATGATAGAGAAGCTATCTATTTATAGGGAAAAAATTGTGTAAATTTGGAAATAATCCATGTGCTAATTAATTGACCTAATCGATTAGGTAGTGTAAATAATCAATTGTTTGTGCCCAAAATGGAAGGTTTTTGTAGAGAGTTGTTATCAATCATTAAAAGTATGTCAAAATTGATTATAGACTCAATTATCTACCATATAATCAACTAGGGCATATATTTAATCCATTAGATAGTTGCAAAAAGTCTACTAATCAATTGAACAACTTTCTAATCAACTAGCTAGGCTTCAAAAATATTTTTTGGTTGTTTTAATTAAAAAATCAGAGGCTTCTCAACATTTCAAATGTGTGCGTAATTTAGTCATACTACTTCCAAAAATGCCTTTGTATGTTTACAATACACCGATCACTAAGACAAATGCGATCATAAGAGCTTTCACACTTCCTCTATTTCATACTATGAAGCTTCAATTCTTGGTATTATCTTTGACTTTATTATCGCAAAAGAACCTTGATTCTTCTTGATGAGGCTTTAAATATTTCCATATTAGTTGCCATCTTGTGCATCTTGTGATCATAAACCCTAAGTCTTAAGCACACCTCTTTAACTTAATTCAAAAGGATACTTAATCAACCATCTTGTGCATCTTTGACTGCTTGAACTAATTTTAGTAGTCGCTTGACTTCAAGAGTTATTATCATCAAAACTACTTCAAGTGTTTTCATCGTTAAAATCATGTCTTCATCAAAGCTAAGTAGTCGCTTCTCAAGTCTTTCTATCCATAAATTTTAACATCTTTACTTACTTCTCTATTATGCCTACAATTACATAGATCCACAATTACAACCTCAAAGAACAAAAAAATGTGTGTAATAATTTTGATTTGATAGGCTACTTAGAAAATTTTCAAACTTATGGTAAGTTGAGCTTAAGCATGAACATGGAAACATTATGGCAAGTAGCGTCAAACTTAGACATTATCATCGAAGCAAGTAAACTCGTGTTTTTTAAAATCTTAATTTTCAATCCATTTTGTCGAGGACAAAGAAAAGTTCAAGTTTGGAATTGTGATGACAATTCCTTATTGCATGTTTTTAGTATAATTTATAATAACTTATGACCATCCTTTGAATGATTAATTATGTTAAAAGAACCAAATATCTAAGGAATGGACGAATGAAGAAATTTAGTGTCTAACTCAAAGAATTTAACCTATTTGCCCAAATTTATATTACGTTAACCCAAACCATGTTACAACCTTCAAGACCTCAAAAATGTGTGTAATAGTTTTTATTTGAACTTAAGCAAGAACATGAAAGTATTTTGGTAAATAACGTCAAACATAGACATTACCATTGAAGCGTGTAAACTCATGTTTTTTTTTTTGTTGAAATATCAATTATCAAGCCTTTTCTCTGAGGACAAGGAACAATTCAAGTTTAGAGTTTGCTGATTATTCCTCATTGTATGTTTTTTTATATAATTTTACTCAATTTAAGTTCTTTTTTCTTGTAACTTGTTTACCTTTTTGTAAGATTTAATAAAGATTGTGATGAATCATGGAAAAGAACAATTCAAGCCATAATCATCCTAACTAGACATATTCTTATGGTATTTTAATGTGGAAATTTTGATGACAAAATAAGTGAAGGATTCACATATAAGAAACCAAAGAAAAAAAAGATAAATTGTTAAAAGAGCAAGAAAACGCTGCACCCATCTAGCAAACAACACGATTGGAGCACAAAAAAACAAAATCAATATGTAAAGAAATAACACCACTCTAATGGAAACACATACAATATTTAGCCAATTGAAATATCACGCCACTCTCACAAAGCAATAGTGGTGTGTTTAATAGGATAACATACTCCCATGTCAGACATATTATAAAAATCATGACGTCTATAAGATATAGTCGCATGATTTTGCAATTACAATTTTTTCTATAGATTGTAAAACATGTTTAGTCATCAGAATTTAGAATTTTATTATCAAGAAGACATATTTTGAATAATTGGACTAAGGGAGAAGAGGTGACATTATTAGGAAATCATTTCTAATAGTTTATAAGGCTTTATTTCTCCATTTCTATTGTATTGGCCATGAATTCGTTAAGGATGATGGGCTAGTCCCCTTAGGTTAAGTCTATCTTTGATGAATTTATCCTCAATAGTGTGAAACACGTGATCCTCTTATATTTGTCCTTTGTAATTATGAATTTCTTATAGTTATTCAATTCTATTTTATGCTTAATGCTTTTTTCCCTTCTAAGGAATCGAAATAGATACCAAATGAGAATCGACTATGGATTTTGCTATTATAACTAAATATTATTGGGAGGCTATTTATGATCACTAAACATGAGGCATATTCGGATGCGACATAAGTATTTTACGTTAAATCAAATCTTAGTTGATTTCTAATTCATCTAAGACATTGGGAATTGCAATCAAACGAGGCAAATTATACGACGAAAAATTATGCACAGTTATTTTTGTAAAATAATCGTGATACATGAAGACTCATTATAAGTTCAAGTTGAGATTGACCACTTGAAAAGGGAAAAAAATTGTAAGTGGTCTTAATTGTTTCTCTCATTAAAAGTCTCAATCGTTAGTTTACTTTAAATTTTATAGTTATTGCACAACCAACTCAACCGTGTTATGCACACCCCCTTATGTCTTTTACATTTCTGATAGCAAATTTGGTTTCCACAATCTTGTTGAAAGAAAAACAATCCTTATGGAGAGATTATAAAAATTACTCACCAGTTATGATTTTTGTCCGCACATATTATACTACATCTTTATTGTCACACGTGAATCACATACAACGGTGGAATGCATATCAACGATTTTTATGGAAGAAATGATTATTTTTCATATGCGCTGTCCACCTACACATAAACGTACTCTTACTAGATTACTCTTATAAAACATGTCGATTTTCATGGGTCACTAGTCAACTAAAAACATATTTGATTTTAGAGAGTTTAATATGTGTTTACTAATTCAATTTTAAGTGATTTAACTTAAAAAAAACTATATCTTTAAAAACTTAAAATCATACAAATTTTATTAGTTAAAAATAAATTTTATTTTAACATCTTATTTGTAATAAAATATATTCTCTCTCTCTCTCTATACACACATTTCATACGTGTCATCTTTCAAGAACACTCTCTCACTTACTAGCAGCATCTATCTACCCACACACGACTCACCAAAACTACAACCTTACCTCTAACCATCGTCTAGTTACACTCAAAGGTTCAAACTTTGTGATAAAAATTTGATTTTTGCACTACCCAAAATCCTAACCAACCAGAAAAATGAAATTGTAGAACAAGTTTCATCACAAAACATGAAAGGGTTAGGTTCTCATACACTCTTGATTCCAAAGGCAAAGCCTCCTCTTTCATTTGCAATTCTTGATGCATTACCTTGTTGTTCTTATTTCTCTAGAACCACCACTTTATCCCCATGTAAGTTCTTCCAAATTTTCTTGTTTTGATGTATTGCTTTGACTTGAATTGAAGTTTCAAGATTGAAGTTTTTCTCATATCCTATAGTTCAATGTAGTTCTTATTGATAGGTAACATGTGATGGATAAATATTTAGGGGAAAATTTGTGTTGATCATATGTTTTAAATCTGTTTTAGATCCTAATTATTTTGAATCAAGTTTGATCTTTGAGTTATATGCTCTCTTAAATTTATTTAGAAATGGTTAGCTATTTGGCTTTTATATATAGTATGTTATTGGTATTTATGTTTCTTGTCTAAAGGAGTGACATATGCCTAAATTATGTATAGTAAGATGCAGACAGAAATTGAAGTTGAGCTTGGTGCGTGGCGAAATTCGATCCCAAGCTTCAAATGTTGGTGTTGGACCGGGGGATTATGGAAACAATCATGAGAAAGATAGTCAGAATGTCTCTGAAAGAAACTCTGTTGATGACAATTCGTCTAAAGTGTGAGTTTCATTTAATTGGGTTCGTTTCTTTGTGTCAGTGATTGCCACTTAGACCTTTACAGGTGCTAGCAAGATGACCATGTGGCTTTAGGAACTTGCCAGGATTTGACTTTTGGTTTTTACGATGTTTTGTTTGGCTCAATGGCTTCTTTTGTGATTGTAATCTCCATGGAAACCATGAATTTCGATTGCGAAGTTGTGTTGTAAACTTGAAACTTGTAGCATATGCATTGTAGAACTATTGATATTGATGTTAAAGATTATGTCTGTAGGTTAATTATCTCGAGTGATTTAGATTTAACATGTTCTTAAGCTCTTTTCAAATTACTTTTTTAGTGTGATGTGAGTATGATCGAACATCGGTCATGGCGTTAATAAAATTCTAATAAAAGTATATTTTATGGTTGGCAGCGTGAAACCTATTCGGGTTCCGTATCCTGCATCTATAGCTTCTGTGCTGTTTGGATGTGCTCTTGTGTTTTCACTAATAGCCTTTGTGAAAGGAGGGCCTTCATCAGTTCTAGCAGCAATTGCAAAATCAGGATTCACTGCCGCGTTTACATTAATATTTGTTTCTGAAATTGGGGACAAGGTAATTTACTATTATTATCTTAAAGTATCTCATTGTCAGTTAGTTTCAATTAATTTATGCTTGTAAAAGAAATTGTAATTGCCAAGAAAAGGTAATAAAATGGATTTGAATCAGGGAATGATAGTGTATTTTTGATGATGAAAAGGAAAATGCATAAGGGAGAAGTTTCTGCCTATAACAGAAATGATTCTCTCATCATGATCTATTCTCTCCTTACTTGACGCTCTATGTAACAGATTTCTCCTCAAACTCTATTTCCCATTTTCTATGTCATCGTTATTTTAATGCCCATTTTTATACGTGAGGTCGGGCCTCACCAACTTGCCATTATCCCTTACGAATTTTCTTTTGTAACATGCGAGACCAAGAAACAATCTTACTCCTGTAACATGTTTTGAGATTAGCCATTAGAGCAAACTAGTAATTTTGCTACAATCAATTGCTACCCCTTCCTTTGAAATAATGTGGCCCAAATACCCCAACTCTTCTTTTCTTGGCCACTAAGTGCTGGTCACATAGCACTTGAAGCACCATATGCAAGTGTTGCATGTTGGTCTCCCATACACCAAAATATCATCAAAAGAAACCATAATGAAATTTCTCAAGATGGGTTTGAAGACTTCATTCATGAGTGCTTGAAAAGTGGATGGTGTGTTCATCAATCCAAACGGCATCACTAAATATTAGTAGTGTGTCTCTTGAGTACTAAATGTCATTTTGGGAATATCAATTTTCCTTACCCACAATTGGTGGAACCAAGCTTAGATGATAATTGTGATCCATACAACTCATCCAATATCTCGTTTTCATAGGAATTGGTAATTTCTGGAAGGGTTACCTTATTCAATGCCCGGTAGTCCACATACATCCCCCAAGTTCCATCTTTCATCTTTACCAAAATAACGGGCTGGAAAGTGCATTATGACTTATTCAATGACCACACTCTTGCATGCCCCTCAAGCAAATACTGTATAGCGAACTTCCATTTTAATCTGTAAGGGTGTTGTCTCCTATGCAGTCCAACCCATAGTCACCACCAACCTCTTGGAGATGAAGTTGTGAGTTGCTCTCGTGTCAACTAAAACGAGAAAGGGTGGCATGCACACACCACTTTGAGCTCCACCGTTTGTGACTGACTATTGCTACCTTTGAATTGGGAGTTAAGTTAAGGGTCATAACACTCATCTCTCCTTACTCCTGTCCCTCATCCTCTATTTTAGCAGCCAAGATATTAGCCCGGAGACAAATGTCTCACTCCTCTATCTCGTGGTTTTGTGCCTTTGCAGTTTGCGCTCTTGCTTGGCATCTTTTTTGAGGCTCAACCCACTTGGTTGCTGTTCAATCCTTGAGGCTGTGGGTGACATAACCAAAGTACTGATTATCTAGTAATACGATCGCCTGTTTAGTGAGGCGCTCAAACTCTTGGATGTATTCCTCCACACTGCGTTCTTGGCACTATGCTGATAGTTGCCTGAACAGATTTCCGTCAATATTTCCCCCATCTTGCTCCAACAACTCTTCTTTGAGCTTTTCCCAAGTCAACTCAGCTTCTTCATTCAACATGTCCTCGAAAAAGTGGATGCTATGCCCTACATGCATAGCCTAGCCAAACTGACGTGTACCTTTGACATCATGTCTTGGAATTTGAAATAAACCTTGGCGTGGATGATCCATCCCGCTGGGTATTCTCAACAAAGATTGGATGTTTGACTTTCCTCACCGACCGGCAGAACTTGACAAACACGTTGCCTCGGAGACTGCCCAAAGTCTCCTTGCGCAAATCCTTCTTCTCCACCGTTAACTCACTGCTCTCAGTCAACTTGTTCTGTGTGATAAGCAATTTCTATCACTCCTAGTTTTCTGCTGCTTCCGTTTACATATTGGTAAGGGCCAGTTTAAGAACCTCCATTTCACTCTCCAGATCTTCTACTTCGACCTACTAGATCAGCCGAACTTTTCACACTTAGAAAGAATATCAACTTAGTCATAAAATTCGTACAAGGATTACATTTTTTGAATACGTGTACATTTTTATTTATTTTTAATTCCTCTGTGAGATTGTTTGTAATTTGAGTTTTTTCCCCTTCATACTACAAACTTGTACCTAAAGAATACAAAAGGGGTAGAATCGATAAGGTTAATTATTAAATGAATATTCATTCGAATTATATGTTTTCATGGAGCTAAAGTTAGCCTTTTATCTTTTGACCAGACATTCTTTATAGCTGCACTCCTGGCAATGCAATATGAGAAGGGATTGGTAAGTCTTCTGACTTATTTTTTCAACAGTTTTTTCTTTCCCATTTTCTGGCTATCACTTCTGTACAATTCCATTATTAATATAATGATATCTATATTTTATAATTTTAATCTGTTGATTATATACTTCCTACTTTTCATGATTGAAATTACTTTTCGCTACAATTCATTTACATTTACATGTGAGTCTCTCTACTATGCTATGTTGTAAAAACTTAATGCAAAACTTGGCAAGAACCCCCCTCTTAAGTTACCAGGGTGTAGTCACAATAACCAAAATTAATTAAAGATCCATGTGATATGTACCTATTTTATTAACTAGAGAGATCCATGCATAAACCTAGACAACAAATTCACTCAACGTCATAGTTTTTAACTAGCGATTATCATGTTTCAATGTAATTTATACTTCGTAACATAATTTTATATATTTTAACTTCTATTTTATATGTTGACCAGGTTTTGTTGGGTTCAATGGGTGCTCTTGCACTCATGTCAATCCTATCTGTTATAATAGGCCGTATTTTTCAATCAGTGCCTGCTCAGTTCCAGACAAGTAAGTTGTAATAGGCCATGTCTTCCGTTCTAAAAAAATTCCTGTCTTTATGATCTAGGAATTCAAGTCACAATGTTATTGATGATGCACCATTCTTATGTATTCATTTATTGCAATCTGTTTAGTAAACACAAATAAAACATGGGCAGCGAAAGCGTGGTGGGCCCATAACTCATCCCTAAAAAACCGGCTTGTAGGGTGAAGATTGCCCCCACTTATAAGCACATGTTCATGTCATATATCATCCGATGTAAGACTCTTAACAACTATCATAGTATATTGAACTTGACCAATCGTATCTCATCGACTTCAATGTCACTCCTCTTCTTCTGCACCCTCATCACCTATGCTGAGGCCTACTCATTTGAGTTATGTTTTTCACCCAAAGTTCCTTTATCTCTATTATCCGGTGAATACTCCATTGTCTAATATTGCCATTCCAGCACTATTCCGCTACTGGTATTGCCTTTTCATCCATCTTTGCCGGTTTGCATCGCCAAGTACACATGTCTTATCTTATAACAAATTAAGCATTCATTTTCACTGTCATAGGAAAATTCCTTCCTGGAGTAGGGAATATGTGATCCTATTTATTTCAACGACTCACTGAAATCTCTCTTATGAAATTTTTCCATGTAATGTAAGTGCCTACACAGATCATCCACACCTTTCCTTCTATTGAAAGTGAAATGCAGGATCACTAACCATTTGGAAGTTGAGTTTAGCATTTCACAGGTGAATGCAAGTTACAGTTGCCCTATTCAACATTTTTTTCCTAAACTCACCTCTTATTTTATCATTTCTGAGGTTCCACTTCATGTGAGCTTAAAATCAGTCCATCTTCAATAAACAACTTTTGGTTTACAGGCTATCAATCTTTCTTCACTATTGACTGTACTTTTCACAATAAAAAGCAATATCTGAAATCTGTATGCCATAATTTTCATTTAGTGTTTATTAGAATGTAAGTTGGGTCTAACTCAACCTTACAAAACCGGCTTGTAAGATGAGGGGTGCCTCTTTTTATCAAGTCTAGTTAGGCCCAATACCATCAAGCTTAGTTCAGGGATATAAATAGTGGGTGACCTGATCAACAAACTTTAATAGGATATCAGAATTTAGGTTGGACCTAACTTAACTTTACAAAACCAGTTTGTAAGGTGAAAGGTGAAGGGATGCCTCTATTTATAAACTTTAATTAAACCTTCTCTTTATTTAATGTGGGACTTGGATTTTTCCCGATCGTATTTGTTCAAATTTCTTGAATTCATGTTTACAGGTAATTTGTAGTATTGAATTCTCTTAATTGATCTATCTTAATCATTTGCTATGATGGCTATAGCTGATGTCTTCTGGTTTGTCTGATCTACATACAGCCTTACCGATTGGAGAATATGCGGCAGTAACTCTTCTTTTGTTTTTTGGCCTAAAATCAATAAAAGACGCATGGGATCTTCCTTCAGCTGCTGTTAAAAATGGTGATAACAACAGTCCTGAACTTGATGAACTTGCTGAAGCTGAGGAGCTTGTGAAAGAAAAGGTTTTAATCCCATTTTCAACAATGTCTATAGTTTTTTTTTGTCAAGTCCTATCTAATGCAACAACTCAGTGATATATGGATGGCATATACGGTTAAATTAATATACTTTGATTTAGGCAATTCAAACGGCATTTATACCTTTAACCATTTCTTTCCAAAATTTCTTCAGGCATCCCCTCGGCTTTCAAATCCACTTGAGATCATTTGGAAATCATTCAGTCTTGTATTTTTCGCTGTAAGGATCCTTTTTTCTCTGATCTTTTTTTTATATTGTTAAATAGCTTAGCATATACTTCTAAGTCTGATAAAGTTAAGCATAGTAATGTACTGTGAAAATCATATAATTTGTTGCATTTGCTTAAAATGTGCTCATCAACATTTTACTACAAATGTTGTTCCTATTTTAATCAACACTTCATATACAGCATCAAGCATTTGTATTGGTTTATGTTATCAGGCATAACTTTTTAATTTGCTGTCTGGATTTGCCTAGGAATGGGGAGATCGGTCAATGCTTGCAACAATCGCGCTCGCGGCTGCTCAGGTGCACTTTTAAATTTAACTTATGACAAAACACATACTAACCATACTCAGATACTTTAAGCAAGGTCTCGACTTTGAACCTTGTCGATGGAAAAAAACGTGGTTAGGAGGGGAGACTCCACAAAAGGTGGACAATCGGGTTATCTGGTGGAGATTAGTCATCGGCTAAGTCGGGGATACATCGTACCGTAACATAATTATCGAAAAATTGATTATGGCACAACATGTTAGCATCTTTTGCTTAATAGTATATATTAATCTTAGTAATATCTTATTCTTTACAGTCTCCTTGGGGTGTGGCCAGCGGAGCCATTGCTGGACACTTGCTAGCAACATGTATTGCCATTGTTGGAGGATCACTCCTTGCTAACTACATTTCTGAAAAACTGGTATAACTCATTATTACCTGTGATTAGTGCTTTGTATTTTAATCTGATATATAATTTAACTCACTTTATTTTGCATCAGGTTGGTTACTTGGGTGGAGGGCTGTTTCTAATTTTTGCTGTAGCCACCTTTTTTGGAGTTTTCTGATTTCTTCCAAGGCCTACTCTTTTTTTGTGTGCAATATATCACTTGTGGAAATAATAAGGACGCATACTCAAATGCGGGAACAGAAAAAAAATCATACTTCAAGTTTGTTGATTTCCTTTAGGAGCAAATTATTCACATGGATAGATAATAAGAAACATGATATCTGACATTAGAGTTAAATTTTGTCATTAGAGTTAAAATTTGAAGAGAAAGTTGTGTAATTGTTTCTCTAGAGACCAGCTATTGTAATGTGTGTTGTATTAACAAAACTGCATTGAAGGATTCATCCATTTGTTAGTAATTGAAGTTTGTTTGTTGGACATTTATGTGTTATCATTTAGAAAATTATGGATGTTTGGTTTCAATCCTAGTGTTTTGAGATTGGTTGCATTGAAAGCATTTGAGACTGCCTATAGTTTTATGCGGAAGAAATATAGGCAGTAACTTTGTCATTGATCATGATCACTTCATATATACACCAAACTTACTATATATAAATCAAACATATCTTCTCTTCTAATGATTGTCACATAATAATGTACTATTTTAATTTTTAATACATCTTTTTTGATTCTACTTTCTCTTCCTCTATTAGGGACGGAGGTAAGTTAGAAGTCTTAAATTGTTGGGGCAAAATTTATAAATTTATTATATTAAAAATATAACATATTAATTATAAATAAATAATAAAATTTTTAAATAATTTTTAATATTTTAAAAATATTAGTAAATTTTTATTTTGAAAATACTAATGGTATAAATCTTGAGGTGCTTACTCCCTGAAAAATGATGGACTAGTTTTATTGAGAGATCGTGATAAATGGTTACTAAAAGGCGGGGGAAGTCCATTAACCATTTTAGGGCCGCCTCTTTGAAAATGATGAACAAGTATATGATTGTCATATGAGTATTGGTGGCAACAATATGTTTATGAGGGCTACTCTTTCCATTAAACTTCACCAGTGATGGTAGTTTGAAGTTTTCTTATACTTAAGCACTCCAAATCTCTTCTAAGAGAGGCTATGGGTTTAGGACCTCGTTTGCGACCTGTAAATCTTCACGATGTCACTTTTGAAAGTTAAGACATTTATCTCTAGAGTTTGGTTATAGACGCACAACTCACATTTGTGCTAAGGTCTCCTGGTTATTGTTGTCAGTGCTATTAGTTGTTGTAGTGTCTCATCGTGTCACCATGTTGAGAAAGATGACTGAGATAGTTAAAAATCAGATGTGAGTATGATCTAGGTTAGTTTTATCGAGACTCCACAAAAGCGCAAATTGTGCTTGTTAAATACAAGATGATCTTGCTCACATGTATGATTGCATGAGAGCACACATGCTCTGATAATGTGAAATGAGTGAAAGTTCTCTACAACCTTAGATGTTGAGATATTTATAGATGACATTATGAGCTGGGTAAGCGGACGAAAACAAAATTTTCCTATCTTCCCAACGAGTACATGACAGTAGGGGAGAATGATTTCTCCTCCTAAATTTGAGGGACAATTTTCCGTTTTATTAGGAGGACCAAACCCGACTTTCTCAAACTAATCCACTTTCAAACAAAAGAAATTCAAACTAAGAAGTGTCGCCAATTCAATTGGCAACTACATTCATTCCATAAGAGATATTATCAATTAAATTGATGATAATATGCAAAACCTAAGTGAGAACTTTTAATTTTTAAATAGAAACATCAATTGGATTGACAACACCTCATGCGAAATGTAACACTGTTTAATTTAACAGTGAATTAGTTTAAAAAATAGATAAAACCATGGTTATTTAATTGAAAATGTTGTTATTTGGAAAAAGAAAAAAAAACTTCTATCTTTTAATCTGTAGAAGAATTATAATAATCTTTCAAATCTTTAGATATGCCAATATTGGGGCTTTCCACTTGTGCTAAGATAACTAGAGAGAGAAAGAATAGACATACAGCTGCATACGCAGCAAAACGAAAACATCAACACACAACATACGATGAGATCATATAGAAGCTATAGAAAGCAACCAACCATAGACTAAAACAAAAACAAAAACAAAAACATCCTCAAAATGCAAAGCCCAGGAACAACACAACCTCCATGGTCTCCTTCTTCACTCTCATTCCTCTCATCAACCTTATTCAGAGACCCTAAACCAAAACCAATCATCTACACTTTCCTACTCATCTCTCTCTTCTCCATCCTCCTCATCCTCTCTCTTTCCTCTTCCTCCCCTTCCCAAACCCACACCCGACCCGACCCATTTCTCTTCCCGACTCACCAAACCCACCGCATCATCTACGACCAAGATAAAACCGCCCCTCCACCTCCTTCCATAGCATACCTCATCTCCGGGTCTAAAGGTGATTCGGGTCGGATCCTACGGTTACTATCTGCAACCTATCACCCACTCAATCACTACCTCCTTCATCTTGACCCTTCTGCCCCTCATTCAGATCGTGAACATTTGGCTCTTGTTGTTCAGTCTAATCCCATTTTTAAAGCTGCTCAGAATGTTCATGTTATGGGAAAACCTGATTTTGCTTATGCAAAAGGCTCTTCTCCGGTTTCCTTTACTCTTCATGCTGCTTCCATTTTGATTCGTTTGTCTCTTAATTGGGATTGGTTTGTTAGCCTCAGTGCTGATTCTTATCCTCTTGTTACTCAAGATGGTATGGTATGGTGGTTTTATTTTTTTAATTTTGTTTATTTACTTTTGCAAAATTATGTGTTGTTGATTTGATGTTGAAAATCTTTTCTGGGTTTGTCAGATCTTCTCCACATCCTGTCTTTTCTGCCTAAAGATATGAACTTTGTGAATCATTCAAGCTATATTGGGTGGAAAGAGTAAGTTCAATGTTCTTATGTGTACAAGTTATTGCTAGTGTCTACGTGTTTGTTTAGTATCTGGTGCGGTGTCTGTGTTTGTGATTCGTAGTTAGCTAATCTAAAATGAGTAATATCAATCATTGCATTTGTGGTTAATGTAAAATGTAAATGCGTAACTATTTATTGAGTATGGTGATGACACAATTTGTATTTGTTTTGATGCTCTAGGTTGAGGAAGCTGAAACCCATTATTGTTGATCCTGGGTTGTATCTTTCAGAAGGGACTGAAATGTTTTATGCTACTCAGAAAAGGGAACTCCCTAGTGCTTACCACTTGTTTACAGGTGTGTTTGGTTCTCCTTGTAATGTATATGGAAAACTTATTGTTTCCTACTTGTATTTGATTATAGAGAGTGTCCCATCTGATCAGAGTAACACTGCAAGCCACATTACATAAATTCTGTTTTGGTGCATAAGTGGAAAAGTTTAAATAGAGTGATATCTTGATATCAGATATACAACAATTTTGAGATCTATATGAAAATAGAGTCTTGGGTTTTGAACTGTTATGAGAAGACAATGAATTAGAGAACTACTTATATAACAAATCTACTAGTGGTTTGATTGGATAAAATTTTAATCATGAATGCCAAAAGAATCAAATCTTTGTAGGCGTATTAACTCAACATAGAAAAATGGTTAACGGAAATAAAAAGAAGAAATGAAACCTCGACATCACAATTAGGATCTCTGAGTGATCATATCCATGGTTTATTTCTATGAAGCAGAAAAAAGGGAATTAGGCTATATTTTAGACTCAGATTCCTACTTAGGATTCTTAGACCCCTATATAGGATATAATGAGTCCTGCACTGGAAATCATCTCTCTCCCTTTTGGTGAAGATAGAATTCCTTCTTGGTCTATACTGCTACTTAATGTTCATCCCATGACGTCCAAGGGATATTAGTAAGCAGTCTGTGCGGGAAAATGTTAGGAATCCGGGTTTGAGCACCGGAAAATTTATTGGTTTTTCATTCGTATATTCTTTAATCCCCCGGTATGTTATGGATTAGTTCGAAATAAATCTTTTTTTGTTAATTAATGTACTAAAATGATACCCATGTTTATAATAAAACAAATAATTCCAGAATAGTTATGTCTAATATTAAACATTCATTGACTTGTTGCCGAGTAAGGCACACAGCTGTTAAAAAATTGTACTGAGCATCTTTAGGTGAATGGTTGAGGTATCGACTAAGTATGCTGTTTAAAGCGATTAACTTGCTACTACTATATATGGGCAACAAATTAGAAACTATATGGTTTTGTTGGTGCTACTACTATGAGATAGAGTGCTTTAATATTTTCAACTGTGCTTGAATGGTAAATTGTGGCCATGTCTGTTAGGAACCCGAAATTAGAAGAAAACAGAAACTATGTTATTGATAGAAAAAATCAAGAAATGTTACAAAAGAGACCCCTGTTATTTATTGATAGCAACCATATCCGATTGCTTAAGTACCAAACATCATTATCTATATTCCAATTAAAGATCCTGCTGTGCTGATAGATTTCGCCTTGTGCCATTAGTTTAAAAGGTGACCTCTTCTTGTACTCTTGCATTGACCCTGTAGTAGCGCCCCACTTGTGGTTTCTCATCAGCTTGGGTTTCCCAAATATTTCTTCTATCATATACAAAATAAAGCAACTTGTAGATTAATGGATAACTTTTCCAGCAGACAGCAGGCCTATAAGAAGCTTTAGTTTCATCCTCAAAACATTGAACAATAGACGAGTTAGCGTTCATGATAGAAATTGAGAAAGCTTACACGTATAGAGAAGTCATGTATGAGCCCTACATACTCTATCAACTGTTAATCCACGTTTCTCCTGCAATTTAGTTTGCTTACCTGGAAAATATCTGCTTCAGAAGATGAGAAACCATCACATCTACATGTTGTCCTTCAGCCATAGTTGCACCGAGTTCCTTGCGAATTCTAAGGCTTACTTCCTTCTTGTTCACCAAACAAGCTGCCAAGACTATATCATGAGGTGTACAGTGTACACACACTTTCAACAACACCATTTGTTAATTAGGAAATAATCTTTGCAGTTATTGTGAATAATTTACATTTATAGAATAGGAAATTAGTCATTATGAATTGTAATTAGTCATTATCAGCTATAATTAGTTATTATGAGTTGTAATTACCGACACTATTATATATAGTATGAAAGGGAATGAGAAAGGCATCAAGCCAAATTTCGTGACATGGTATCAGTAGGTTCGATCAAACTTGGAAAATATTATTATATTGGCTGATCAGCGATACCCCACTGGTTCGCTCTCGTAATCGTGTTCGTTTCGAAATTCTTTCGTTTGAAATCGAAACCTTGCAGCTGTCTGAGATTCTAAATCTTTGGTTGCCGGTTCGTGATTTCGTCTTGGAGATTCTCGTTGTTGCGCTGATATTGCAATCAATTTTTTTTGGTTCTTGGCTGTTGTTGCTTCGTGATTCTGGATCGTCATAATCTTCTGTTTTGCCGCTCCTTCCAAATCGTGGATTTGATCGTGCTGTTGTTCGTTGGTTCGTGGGTATTGTTTCTTGTTGCTGCTCTAGTAACTGTGATTACAGTTACTGTTATTATATTATAGTTATTATTATTATTATTATTATTATTATAATTATTATTATAATAATAATAAAATAATATTAGTGAGATTGTATCTGGTGGTTTAATAATTTAGATGGCTTCCGAAAAAGAAAGAGATAATTTTTGTGTTCGTTTTACCGGCAAGAATTATTCGGCATGGGAATTTCAGTTCAAGATGTATGTTAAAGGAAATGGATTATGGAGTCACTTAGATGATGTTTCTAAGGCACCAACGGAGAAAACTGCTTTAGATGCGTGGGAAACTAAAGATGCTCAAATTATCACTTGGATTCTAAACAATATTGATCCTCAGATGATAAATAATTTGCGTTCTTTTTCAACTGCTCAAGAAATGTGGAATTATCTGAAGCGCATTTACAACCAGGACAATTCGGCAAAACGTTTTCAGTTGGAGTTAGACATCGCCAACTACAAACAAGGTGATTTGTCTATTCAAGAATACTATTCTGGTTTTTTAAATCTTTGGGCAGAACACTCTGCTATTATACATGCTAATGTTCCCAAGACCTCTCTTGCGGCTGTTCAAGAGGTCTACAACACAAGTAGGCGAGATCAATTTCTTATGAAGCTTCGTCTAGAATTTGAGGTTGTCAGAGGTGCTTTGCTAAATAGGAATCCTGTTCCTTCTTTGGATACATGTGTTGGTGAACTTCTCAGGGAGGAACAACGTCTCCTTACTCAAGGAACCATGTCTCATGATACTGTCAGTTCTGAGCCTGTGGCAATTGCATATGCTGCTCAAAGTAGAAATAAAGGTCGTGATATGCAACATGTCCAATGTTTTTCTTGCAAACAGTTTGGACATATTGCTCGTAGCTGCAGTAAGAAGTTTTGTAATTATTGCAAACAAGGTCATATCATTTCTGACTGTCCCACGCGTCCTCCACGACCAGCACATCATTCGGTGAAGGCATTTCATGCCACTACAGGCCATACAATTGGCTCTTCCACCACTGGTGCATCAGATGGCAATGCTCTACAACCTGAAATGATTCAACACATGGTACTTTCTGCCCTTTCAGCCTTGGGTATTAAGGGTAAGTCTTCTCATGTGTCTCGTCCATGGTTTATTGATTCTGGTGCATCCAATCACATGACAGGTTCATCTGAAAACTTGCACAATTTACATTCTTATCATGGTAATCAGAAAATTCAGATTGCTAATGGTAATACCTTGTCTATCACTAACGTTGGGGACATAAACTCGGATTTTCAGAATGTGCTTGTCTCACCTAGACTTGCTTCTAATTTATTGTCTGTTGGTCAATTGGTGGACAATAATTGTAATGTTAATTTTTCTCGATCTGGTTGTCTTGTGCAGGAGCAGGTGTCGGGGAAAGTGATCGCGAAAGGGCCTAAAGTGGGAAGATTGTTTCCAATACAGTTTATTTCTAATCATTTGTCTCTTGCTTGTCATAATGTTTTGAATTCCTATAAGGATTGGCATAGAAAACTAGGTCATCCAAACTCTTCTGTTTTGTCTCATTTATGTAAAAGTGGCTTGTTGGGAAATAAAAATGTTATTCCTGATGCCTCTGTTTCATGTTCTGTTTGCAAATTGGCTAAAAGTAAGACACTTCCTTTTCCGTCTGGTGCTAATCGTGCTTCCACTTGTTTTGAGATGATTCATAGTGATGTATGGGGAATGTCTCCTGTGGTTTCTCATGCTCACTATAAATATTTTGTCACATTTATTGATGATTATAGTCGTTTTACTTGGATATATTTTCTCCGTTCTAAATCTGAAGTGTTTTCTATGTTTAAGAAATATTTGACATATGTTGAAACTCAATTTCAAGCAAGTGTTAAAATTTTTCGATCTGACTCTGGTGGTGAGTACATGTCTCATGAGTTTCAGGAATACCTTCAACAAAAAGGCATCTTGTCTCAACGGTCTTGTCCCAATACCCCTCAACAAAATGGCACGGCAGAACGTAAGAATCGTCATTTGCTTGATGTAACACGCACCTTACTTCTCCAAGCTTCTGTACCATCCCGATTTTGGGTGGAGGCTCTTTCCACGGCTGTCTTCTTGATCAATCGTATTCCTTCTACAGTTATTGATCTTGATTCTCCTTTCTTCCGTCTATTTAAAATTCATCCTGATTATAGTGCTTTACATACTTTTGGGTGTGTGTGTTTTGTTCACTTACCTCCTTTTGAAAGGCATAAGCTTGGAGCACAATCCGTTCAATGTGCATTTATGGGATATAGTAACTCTCATAAGGGATTTGTGTGTTATGATGTCTCTAACCATCGTTTTCGCATTTCTAGAAATGTGACATTTTTTGATAATCAGTTTATGTTTCCCTGTGGTTCTCCTGCCATTAATGATATTGTTACTCTTCCTAAGTTTTCTATTATGTCTCAAGCTATAGAACGTTATAAACCAGGTCATGTATATGTCAGAAAACACAGACAACAGGTTCCCACACCCCTTCCCGATGCTGAACTGCCACCTGATCCTGTACCGGTTGAACCACGACGTTCTGGTCGAATATCCCGCGCACCAGATAGATATTCACCAGACAGGTATGATTCCTCACATACTTCTTTGACTGCCACACTCTCTAGCATATCTATTCCTACTTGTTACTCACAGGCTGTTAAAGATGTGCGATGGATAAAAGCAATGACTGAAGAGCTCCAAGCTCTTCAAGAGAATTTCACATGGGATATCGTCACTTGTCCTCCAAATGTAAAACCTATAGGTTGCAAATGGGTGTATTCTGTGAAACTGAATTCTAATGGGTCCCTCAACCGTTACAAGGCTCGTTTGGTTGCGTTAGGAAACAAGCAGGAATATGGAATTGATTATGATGAGACATTTGCACCGGTTGCCAAAATGACAACTGTCCGCACAATCATGTCTATAGCTGCTTCTAATGGGTGGACTCTTCATCAAATGGATGTGAAGACTGCTTTTCTTCATGGTGACCTGACAGAAGATATTTATATGACTCCACCTCAAGGCTTATTCTCTTCATCTAAAGGCGTGTGTAAGCTCAAACGCTCCTTATATGGTTTGAAACAGGCACCTCGAGCATGGTACGAGAAGTTCCGCGCCACTATACTTGGATTCTCCTTTACTCAGAGTCAGTATGATTCATCTTTATTTATTCATAGCACATCTGCGGGTATTGTTCTGCTTCTTTTGTATGTTGATGATATGGTTATTACTGGTTCGGATCATGCTTCCATTCAGCGACTTAAGCAACAGCTACAGGCCTCATTTCATATGAAAGATCTGGGTAATCTACATTATTTTCTTGGTCTTGAGGTTCATTTTACATCCAAGGGCATCTTTCTCCATCAACACAAGTATGCTACAGATTTGATTTCTATGGCCGGTCTTGAATCGGCTAATCCAGCAGATACTCCTCTTGAGGTTAATGTTAAATATCATCGTGATGATGGGGATCTGTTGCCTGATCCCTTATTGTATCGACAACTTGTGGGTAGCCTCAACTACTTGACTATTACTCGCTCTGACATATCTTTTGCTGTTCAACAAGTAAGTCAATTCATGCATTCTCCTCGCCATCTTCACTTGGCTGCAGTTCGTCGTATAATTCGCTACTTAAAAGGAACCTCTCACCGCGGATTATTCTTTTCCGTTGGAACTTCTCTTCAGTTGAGCGCTTATAGTGATGCTGATTGGGCAGGGTGTCCTGATACTCGTCGATCTGTTACTGGTTGGTGTATGTTTCTTGGTTCTTCATTGATCTCTTGGAAAAGTAAGAAGCAAGCAAGAGTTTCTAAATCTTCTACTGAATCAGAGTATCGTGCCATGTCTGCTGCGTGTTCAGAAATACTTTGGCTTCGTGGTCTTTTGGCTGAACTTGGATTTCCCCAAACAGAGTCAACTTCACTTTATGCTGACAATACAAGTGCCATCCAAATTGTTGCAAATCCTGTTTTTCATGAACGCACCAAACATATCGAAGTTGATTGTCATTCAATACGTGACGCCTACGATGATCGAATAATATCACTTCCTCACGTCAGTACGCAGTTGCAGGTTGCAGATATTCTTACCAAGGCTGTTCCACGCCCAAGACATCAGTTTCTTGTTAGCAAATTGATGCTCCTTGACCAGCCGCATCAATTTGAGGGGGGATGTTAATTAGGAAATAATCTTTCCAGTTATTGTGAATAATTTACATTTATAGAATAGGAAATTAGTCATTATGAATTGTAATTAGTCATTATCAGCTATAATTAGTTATTATGAGTTGTAATTACCGACACTATTATATATAATATGAAAGGGAATGAGAAAGGCATCAAGCCAAATTTCGTGACACCATTGTCCTTACATTTTCCAATGCATATTTTGCTTCTGCAGACTGCAGCAATATCAACAGTAGAAAGATTCATGTTAGGTGAAGATCTGTCCTCCTTGGACTGTAAAAGAAGATTCTTTCTGAGCCTTAGCTAGCTCTTGTATGTCTCTTAACATTCGTGCAAATTTGCAAGCCCTTCCTGGGAAAGACAGTACCACCCAAATTGTAGAGGTGAGCAGCGATGACTGTCTTCGCTGCTCACTATAGGGGGGCACGCACCAGTTGCTTGGGTTTCCACTCGATTCACCCTCCATTTATCACGATGGGGCACGCACCAGTTGCTTGGGTTTCCACTCGATTCACCCTCCATTTATCACGATAATTGATGCCGAGATAAAAATATGCATGGTTGCTAGTAGGAAGAAATCACAAGTAGGACAGTGCATATACTAGAAGGGTTTGCAGAGCAAACAATGTGCACAGTGGATGGCTTTATGATGAGGTTGATTGACAGTCTGGAGGATCAAGCGTGTATGGCAGTTCCGGTGGTCGTACAGGAGCAATCAGAATTTGAATCAGTTGAATTTACACGACCTCAGCACACAGCTGTACCAGAGGGGCTAGCATCGTTATAGGCGGTGAAAATTGTAGATGTGATGAACTCACCAGAGGAACTCGCCTAGTTAAGGACATGCATGTGGTAGACTGTTGCCACTGAAGGCACCTCATTGGCACAGTCAAGTCAGGTTTGCCTAAAGAGTTGTTAGCCTTTGAATTAGGCTAAAAGTAATACAATCCGTTTGGGCCTGGTTCATCAGGTTTAAACATGAACTCAAGTTACAAAATACCAGTTTTAGGGTTTGAATGTGAACCAGGGCGCAGGCGGTGGCGGCAGGTTGTGCCATCTACGCTTGACCCACCTCTCTTTTTTCACGTTGAGTTCTCTCACCTTCTGTGGCAACTTTGTTGCTTGATTTGGGGCCTTCATCATGTGACTCACTTGTTCTTGCACTTGTGCCATGATGAACGGATTAGACCCTTCACCCTCTCTTTTCTTGCGAGATCCAGATGTAGAGACGTCTCCACTGTTGAGTTATTCCTGCATCTTTCTGGACTGGTCCATTTGCTGAGAAATGGTCTTGTTAATTCAATCCTCAAAAGTAAGACCACTTGGGTTTCTTGTTTCACCTCTTGCTTCTTCATCTCTGACATCAGAGATCGCAGTAACTCCGCCACTAACAATTTGACGGATTCCTCCAATCTTTCAATTCTTCCTATTAATGCACCAATTCTCTCATCCCTTTCTGCTTCCAACACTTCTTCCTCAATCATCTTGAATGACACAAATATGATACGAATTCCGGGTCTCTGCGATAATCTGGCAGGTCAAATCAATGTTAGGAACCCGAAATTAGAAGGAAACAGAAACTGTGTTATTGATATAAGGCAAGAAATATCACTGAAGAGATCGCCAAAGCGCCGCAAAGATAGTAGAACTAAACTAAAATCAATAAAGACCGAGATTATTCGTAAGAGTTAAGGGCATGTGGGGCTCTAAGAATATAAGATATAGTATAATGAATATAATGTGGGATTGTGAAGTTATTTCAGCTTAGGAAGGGAAGAAGCTTTTGTTGAAAAGCTTCTAGTTTTAACTTGCAAAAGAAGCTTTTGTTGAAAAAATTTATTTAGTTATTGCAAGATCTCTTGCTCTCTTTTTTCTAAAGATGGTTGTTGAGAAGTTATTTTAGCTGACTTATTCTTTTCTTGTACAGGTTCATCTCTTTCCATTTTAAGTCGTAATTTTATGGAGTTTTGCATTTGGGGGGTAGACAACCTCCCAAGGATTCTGCTAATGTATTTCTCAAACACACCATCATCCCTGTCCAACTATTTCCCTACCGTTCTCTGCAATTCTCGCCAGTTCAACAAAACTGTCATAAATCAGGACTTATTATATGCTATTTATGACAGTCATAGAAATGATCTTCGACCATTGAACTCAACGGATTTCGATGACATGATTCTTAGTGGAGCTGCCTTCGCCAAAAAATTCCAGCCAGATGATCCCATGCTTGATCTCATCGACCAAAAAGTATTGAACCGAAGTCCTGGATCAGTTGTTCCTGGTGGTTGGTGTTTAGGTGAGCCTGGGAACAACACATGTTTAACCTGGGGAGATGCCAGTATCTTGAGACCCGGTGTAGGCTCTCAACGGCTCGAGAAAGCAATTGTTGAACTGTTGTCAAATGGCAATTTCCGATCTCGTCAGTGTATATAGGAATGATCTTTCTCTAGCATGATGTCATGTCACACAATGTAACAGAATAGGAAAAGAAACTCAAGGAATTGTAAGAAATATAAGAATCAATTGCTTTGTGTTTGTTGTATCTAGAGCAGAAATCTAGCAAGTTAGCTATGATTATTAAATGTGTTAATACAATTAAAGTTTTGCTAATTCTGATTGTTGTTTTATAATTTAATGTGGGATTGTGGTTGTCCATACTTGGTTTAGAGTTATGTTTCGTCTGAAAAGTTGTAAAACACACACTGGATGAGAATTCTTAATCTCATCATGCAATTATGTGTCAAAGTTTTAGCTTAATGTGCTTAAAGAGTTTAGATAAGTGTGTATTTTGTTTTTGATTTTTTAACGAAAATTTTTTACAATCCCTTTTCTTGTACTTGAAAATGAAATTATCTTCAACTTTTTCTTCAATCCTTGAATTGAATATCCATGCACTGTCCTCACTTGCATCATTTGTTCCAGCCTCCACATTAAGTCCCTCATCTGTTACAACCTTCACATTAACTCTCTCGTCTAATCCAGACTCCACATCGACTCTCTCATCGGTTCTAGCCTCAACATCATCTTCTTCATCTAAACCAGTTCATACATTAACTCCCTCACCTTATTTTACATCAAAATGAAGTCCTCCCTCAACACTGCCTCTTCCAACGATTCCAAATTGATCAACATGATCTTCATGTCCAGCTACATATCCCTCACTATCTTTATTCTTTTCCTCTTCATAAGGCCATGATTCATTTTCATCAACAGTCTTCACGTTGGACTTTAATCCTTATTTCTTACATTGGTCCATTGTCTTTTTTTTTTTTTTTAATATTTTTTTAATTTCATACTTCTGTCCTAAACTAATTGTCATAATTGACACCTTCAAAAATGTACTAAATAGAAAAAAGAAAGAATAACAATTTTACAAAATTATCCTTATTAGCTATTGGTGTATTATAATTATGGTTTAATACCCTTTTTGGTCCAATACCTATGACTCGGGGTCCATTTTGGTCCTCTTCCTTTTAAAAGTTTTAAATTGGTCCCTTACGTTATCTAACAGAACCAAAGTGATCATTTCTGTCAAAAAATGGGTAACGACGTGAATTCAGATGACGTGGAAGCTGAGGTGGATGGGTGGATTGTCTATTCATCACCTTCTTCTTCCTTGTTGCTGAAGCATTTTTATACTTTCCCCCAAATTAAATCCTAACGCAACATTCTTTTCAAAATCCCCTAATTGAAACCTAAATCATCATCTAATCATGAGTTCTATGCGCGGTTCGTCAACATCATCTAGAAACCGAAGTGAATTGTGAGTCTTAAGCAATTTTAAACTTCCATGGAAGCTTCTATGTCGTTGTGGAGACAATGTTATACTTCGTAAGGCAAGAACTGTCAACAATTATGGAAAGCTTTTTTAGGGTTGTTGCGGTAATAATCAGATGTCAAGCTATTGATTAACTTGAATCTTAATTCATTAAATTCACAACCGGACTTTGATTTATCCAAAGGAAAGGTTAAAGAAAGAAAGACCTTTTGCGCGATGTAACAACAACGCTAAGAGATCCGGAGATCGGGGGTTGGTTATGCCTAAGGTAGATATTTCACATTCTAAACATCTGTACTACTCTACAAGAACCTTTTGTATGTGTGTATGATAAACTTTCTATGGTTATGTTATGGTTTGAGATCAAGGTTGGAGTTAAGGTTTAGGTAAAGACCTAAGGATAAGGATAGTTCTAAATTTGCTCACAAAGATATCACATCTTCTGCCTACGTATCCTAACTAGGATAGAATCAGAGCAATCGTAGTTCACCTCATCGAGGATTAAAAAGTACTTGACTATGGTCAAGACTCTAGGGGGACAAACATAACAATGCTTGTGTAGAGTTTAACCAAACAATCTAGATCTATATTGAACACTCAAGAATGGGGAGTAAGTAATCATCACCATGATTCTTACATAGAGTTAACCAACTCTACCTAATTCTATGTTGTAAGACCAACTGGTTCTATCCAGACCAAAAGGAGGGAGAAGGCTCTATCAAGGCCTATAAGAATTGACTCTGACCGCGTCAAGGGGGTGTGATCGTCAAGATATCGTACCTTATGCCTACGTATTCCCATTAACCAACGAGAAATCAGAGCGTGTGTAGTTCAAATATGACTAAAGAAGAAAAACTCTAAACCTAAGTTCTAAAGGGTAAATGGCTCTATCAAGGCCTATAAGGGTAATGAGCTATCTATGATCCAGAGGTCAATAGAGAAACTTTCCTTTGGACACAAGGGATACAAACAACTTGATGTGAACTAACAAGTTCCATCACTAGGGAATAACTTGACAAAGTTGAAGAAATAAAGTAAGAGCATGTAAACAATCATGATAACAATCGAGATCAACATTTAACATCTTAACAAAGATCAAAAGACATAGATGTAATAACCAACAATGTAAGCAAAGAACATGTGTAACAACAACAAGTTCATCTATAGCATTCATATGAAATTGATGCAAATAAGTTACAACTTGAAGCAAGCATGTAATAAGAATCAAACAAGATCAAATGTAACAACATAAGACCAATCAAACATGTATTGAGGACAACCAATCAAGCAAAATACAAGAGATGTTACAACAATTCAAGTGTAAATTCATAACTTCATGGGGAAAAACATACAAGTTTTATGGTAACAACCAAATTGAAAATCAAACCCTAGCATGTTATGGTTCTAACAAGACACATGAAAAAGTTGAATAAGGCATGATAAACATATTCAAGAGGTTATAACATCAAGAATCAAGCTAAAGTTGACAGATGAAGTTCAACAGGTCATTTTCACATATATGCATTCACCAAGGCATACATGAACATGTTAAAGCAATGAATCAAACACTTTCAAGTATTTAAACATGTTAATAAACATATATGAACCCCACAAGGGAAATCAGGTTATAAGTTGAAAAATTTCATGAACCCCATGGAAAAACCCTAAAAACAACATGTTATTCAAGTGGATAAAAGTATTTCTAGGATAACAATTCTTGAATTATTTTCTCACTCAATGGAAATAGACATGATAAGGAGTAGTTTGCAAAAAGAATGACATCAATAGCATAAAAAATTAGCAAGTTATGATCATTGGAAAATAAGGCACAAAGTTGGTAAACTATGCCTAGACAAGGTAAGTCAAGTTAAGGCACATTTAATGTTTCAACCTAAACTAACAACATTGAAAAGCTTGGCTAAAAAGCATTATAACAAAAATAGCATGGATTCATCATCAAACATTGGTTCATACTTGACCAAATCAACAATCCTAACATGTCTATGCATTGCATAAACAGAAAATAAATAGCATGACTAAAAAGATGAGAGCATAGGCTTACCTCTTGTGGCCTTTTAATGCAAGAGTGAGAAACAAGAATACCAAATATCTAACAAGCTTATTATAGTTCTACAAATGATCCAATAGTGATGTAGAAATAATTCAAACAAGCTCCAAGTCCAGTTGGTCAGAAATGCCTTGAATGCTAAGCAAAACTTCCAAAAATCCAAAGATTCCAAAGAGGGAACTTTCTCAATGGTTGTTAGAGTGATTTCTGGCTATGGTGAGGGTTTGAAAAGTTCTAAAATATCATTTATGGTGTAATATAAGGGTTACTTGAGTTGAAAAATGATTGGAGATAGTTTTGGAAGAGTTTTGCAAAAATAGGTTTTTTGAACTAGTTTTGGAAACTTGGTGGATTTTGCAAGAACTTTATGATAGAGTGAGAGGGAGAGTTCTAGCTGGTTTTTGTCAAATAACTCGTGTGTTTGAGATGGTTTTGGAAGGTCCTATTTATAGCCAAGGAGCTGGAACAAGAGGCATGTGTAGAAGTGAAGTTCTTGTCCATTTTGCCCTTTTTGAACAAAATCTTGTCAGTTTCAATGTGAATATTTGATATCATCTAGTAACCACTATATGCTATGTTTGGTCATCTCATAGGGGTGATATTCAACATGTTTTATGAGATGGAGAAGTACTTTTTGCAACATAGTGGGTGGTTCTATTCATGATAACCACCAATGTTCTCTTTCCTTGCAAGTTGCACTTTATCTTGGATTTAAATAATATTTACATCACATCAAAAGCTAAACTCATGGAAACTAGTGCTAACATGTTTTATGGGATAGAAGATTACTTTTTGCAACATAGTGAGTGGTTCTACTCATGGTAGCCACCAATGTTCTCTCTCCTTGCAAGTTGCACTTTATCTTGGATTTAAATAATATTTACATCACATCACAAGTTAAACTCATGGAAACTAGTGCTAATCTTCTCCATTAACTTCATAATCATCAAAATTCAAGCTTAATTCATTATTAGAGGTGATATGATGTTAGAAACGGAGTTGGCCTCAATTTGGGGTCAAAACCCTGAAGGTCTGACTTTTCAGTCAGACGAACCGAAACGATCGAAAACCTTTGGATCAACTGTTGATGTTATGAGTTTTCCGAGCCTTTGAAAATTATTGAGTAGGCTTCAATAGGTCCTATGAGCCTCATGGACCATGATTCCATCATTGGAGACCTCTCTAGGTCAAAAGTCAAAGTTGCAGTTGACTTTTTCATCAGGAAAGCCTAATTAGGATTCTTGCTCTGCACTGTCTCAATTCTCTTGGTAACCACCTCAAATTTAACTCATCCTTGATCAAATGTGATATCCTTGATGATATAAAGACTTATTATGTGGAGAATCAATCCAAAACCTTGACTGATCAATCCATAGAAACCCTGATTTATGACTGTATGAAAACCCTAATTCATCTGCATCTTGACAAAGACAAACTTGAACTCTGTTAAGGTTAGATAAAAAATGTTGATGCTCCTAGAATGATGAAAGGATCTAGGGGTCAAAATTTGGGGTATAATAGTTGTCAGCATTTTAAGGTAAGGTTTAGTCTGAATAAGATTAGTTGAATGTTGTTGAAATGTCTATG